ACATTACATGTATTCATTGAAAACCAATAGACAATCGATATTCAACTTGCACAAAGCATGACAGATTTTAAAGATATTCTTGCAAAATTGACATATGCTTTTAGTTTTTTAAAAAAAGGTAAGTTCTCATCTCAACCATAGCAAAATCCCAAGGTGCAATATAATACAAATGCAAGTAGTTCTGAAAGTTATTACATAGATCAAGTCAAATTAGTCATCACTCTTCGCAGTAGTAAGGTTATTGAAAAACTTACTCTTGAACCTTGTGAGATAGAAGATGAGTCAATCTTTAAGGGTAAGGAAGAGGCTGAATCTGAACATTGAAAAAAAAAAAGACCAGTTCCCCTCCAGCACTTTCATTTCCTCATGCTATGATTAAACAGGAAGAAATCAAGGATGAAAATGACATCAAACATGTTGTCGCATATCATTTCTTAAAATTGACAATACATTCGACATCCGACATCACACCAATCGATGATTACTTTCTTGATGAATCTTTACATTATCTTAGTTCAATGTCTTGGTTTGCTAAAACTATCAATTTTTTTTACTTCAAGATTTTTGCTAGCTTATTTGGATAATCAAGAGAAAAGAAAGTTTTTGAGTTACATGCAAAAGTTTTATTAGGATGACTATTAGTTATTCAAACATTATCCTGATCAAATATTTTAAAAATGCATTCCTGACAATGAGGTAAGTAGTATCATTAAATTTTATCACTTTAAGGTATGTGGGGATCATTTCTCATAAAAAAATAATTATAAAAATCCTACAAAATAGATTTTACTAGCCCACCATATTCAAAGACTCACATGCATTCTACAAGAGCAGTAAAAATTGTCAAAAGGTGAGAATTATTTCAAAACATAGAGAATGTTTAGATTAACATAAGTTATAATTATGAATACTTGACAAAATTTATAAGCATTCGTATTATTCAAATAAAATAACTAATGTAATCATGTTAATCATTTATAATCCTATTAGAACCTCCTTTATGTGTGGTTTCTAATTGAGCAATAAAAAGAGTTTATATTGTACTTGTTTGAAATACCATTAGTGGATCCTCTAACCTTGACATTTGTTTTTATCATTGTTTAATTATCATGTTAATCTTACAATCTCAAAGTCCTCTTTCACTTATTATTATAGTTGTTGTTGTTGTTTATAATTTATATAGTTAACCTCCTTATGGTTCGACTCCAGTCTTGTCGGATTATTTATTACTTTAATATTTCTGCATTTGGAAGAAAACATCAATCTTTTGATCATACTCTACCAAAACCCAACCTGAACTACATAACTAACCTTAAAGTTTGGGAAAATTATATTTCAACCAAGCATATAAAATACAAAATTTAGGTTTTTTTTCATACTCTAACCTCTCCTTTTTACCTTCCATATTGCTCCCTCTCACTCTCTTCTCCAACGACAACAACAGCCCCTCCAAAGATAGCAACAACTGATCCAGCAACAAATCAAGCAATGGCTAATCCTGCTTTTAACAATTTTGATTTTTTTGAAACCAAATTATTGTGCTAGATGTAGTGGCTCTATCTATTATTGTCTTAATTTTCATTACAAAGTTTTATTAACATATGTGGTATGCTAATTATTATTATTATTATTATTATTATTATTTCTTTCTTTTTTAAGTGTCAACCTTGTTTTGTCTATTTTTTTCATTTTCAAAAACTCTTTTTGTCCTCTTTTAAAGATTTTTTTTATGTGTAAGTCTGTGAAGTTTGTATGGTTTGTTTAAATAGCAGTAGATCTAGCAATAAATCTTATGGCGACAAGTTTTCTCATCTTCATTTTTATGGTTATCTACTATAATATATTTAGGTTATGGTTATTCGAGACTTGATTGGGTTAGATTTGGGTTTTCAAAATCTATACCCAATCAAGTCAGGGTCAAGCATGAATAATGATTTTGATTTTAAGTTCGGGTATGGAGAGTCACCAACTAGATCCACATGTACCTCTTACCAACCCTAGCTATATGCTGAGTCTAAGACAACATGTGTTTAGCAAGTTGTCAGATCCAGTATATTTGAGCTCAACTATGTATTGAGCTTCTAGTCACCCTAATATACTTGAGTTCAATAATGTATTAAACGCAATGCAACATGGATATAGAAAGTTATTAAACCTAAGATATTTAGGTTTAATTAGTCATATACTAAATCCAAGGTTATATAATTTTGGAAAATCACCAGAGATTTAGTTAAATATCAAACTCAATTAGTCTAGAGGTCGTTAAAGATCATATTAATACCATCAAGTTCTGTCTTAAAACTTTAAGTATGAACCATTCATGTAAAAAACAATCATCTCCCTTAATAAAATATCCATCCTCGTTGAATCGGTCCATATCTAGAAGCTGCTCCATGGTGGTTCTTTGGCTAGCTATAAAAATGAAGTTCTTAATAAAACTGGAAACTCTCTCCATAAAGTCATAAGATCGAAGGTATAGGTAGCATCGAACAAATGGATGTACATGAAACACAACAAAGTCTCTGTAATCCAGAATTGCATCAACTGATGCAAATACAGGTAGCTAAATGGAAAACTATAAAGGTGAAAGAGCTTCATTTTCGGATTTTGGCAGCAAATTTTGGAGAAAGAATTTATCCCTAGACGATAAACCCTCAAATTCAGCTCGTTAAAATTTTTACTATTGCTACAAATTATAGACAACAAACACAAAAAACAAATTTTAAAATATATAATTAATAAATATAGTATTTTGTTTTCTAAACTAAATAAAAAAAACTAATTTTTACCGAATATCCTTTTATATACATGCATCCACTGTGCTTAATAAACCTTGAAACAAATACTGAATCATTTAGTATCAGATTATTTATCTATATTATGTTGTGAGTTAAATTAATTTTTTTTAAATATTTAAAAAATATAGATATTGCTAATATATTTTCAAGAAAAAAAATTAATTATGTAAGAATTAACACCATGATACCCATTCATTTTGGCAAGTCCAAGTATAATCTATATAACTAGGAAAAAATAATTCAACTAAAAAAATTCAAGACAAAGGTTTTTTTTTAAAAAAAATATTAAAATAAGAAGGTTTTTTTTAAAAAAAAATATTAAAATGAGATTGTGAAACCTCATGGAAAGCAGATATTAATCTAATTTAATATATAAAATATTACTGGGTTATGAGATTGTGAAACCTCATGGAAAGCAGAATTAAGAAACATATTAAAGCATAAATTATAATCAACCTCATGTGGAATAATGAAGTTAAAAAAATCAATTATAAAAATAAAATAAAAATTCAAGTTAATGTTGGTTAGCTTGTCAAACTTGGATCCATTAATTTTTATTAATATAATAAAAATGTCATAATTTGAAAAAATATTAATTTTATTATAAAAAATTATTATTTTAATAAATAATCCTCTATGAAGAGGATAATAATGATATGATTTCTCCCCAACTGATCAATTAGTTTTTATTAATGCATTAAAACGGATGAAAAGCTACAGGTAGAATGCCGCTGTGTGCGGATTGTGTTGAAAATGATCGATCCCAATCAAGTTATGACATTTTTAAAAAGCCAACAGAAGTTCTGCAACTCGAAAAACATTTAATATGACATGATTTGCATGGTGGAAAACATAGATTAATTGCAAATTTATAGCTATGCACTCTGTGCAAATGACCTGTCTGAGGGTCCATTTGCAGCTCACTGATTTACTTCAAAGGCAACAATTTCAGTTGCATACATCTCTAACTTTGATATATAAAAAAAAATAGCAAATTATTTTGTATATCAAATTTAAAATTAAACCTAAGAAATTAAGGAACGTTACGGTAACCATCATACCAACCATGAAAAGTAAAGGACTAGAACTCTTGAAGGTTAATCTATAATTTATCTGTATATCCTTATCTGAACAGGAGAATTTAATTTAACTCAGGATTGAAGCCAAAACACAAGGTAAGTTTCCTTGTGTTTTGGCTTAGATTTGTTAGGAAAAGACGAATACGGTCAGTAATACGTTCTTTTTTCTTCCTCTACCGTTCCTCACGACTGTTTGGTGAAGAGACATGGACAAGCGAGCGACAAATCATGCCTTCAAAAACTTGTCAATTCTAAAGACTAAATTTACTCTTTTATGGTGAAATTAATCTACATTTAATTAAATTAAATTGACTTACATTTTATATAAAAAAATAAGAAATAATTTATGTTAATATATGTTGTAAATAATAAAGTTTAAAAAAATATTTTAAAATATTTTTTATTTTATATTAAAAAGATATTATGTTATCTTTTTAAATTAAAGTATTTAAATTAAAAAAAATATAATTTTTCATATGAACATAGAGTATATATATTAAAGAGTTTTAAATTTCACATTGAAAAAACAACTTTTTTAGTATATATATTAAAGATTTTTAAATCTCATATTAAAAAATATTATTTTATCTTTTTAAGTTGAAGTATTTAAATTAAAAGGTTTTTTTATTCCACATTAAAAAAACTGAATTTTTTTTTGTGACAATAAAGTATATATACGAAAAAAACTTTAAATTTTTCATTAAAAAATAATTTTTTTATTAGAAATATAAAGTGTGTGTGTGTGTGTGTGTATATATTAAAGAGTTTTAAGTCTTATATTAAAAAAATAAAATATTTTTCTAGCATTTATAAAATAAACTTTAAAAAGTAGTAGTAATTAACTAAAAAAATATAAAAAAATATAAAAAAACATATTTAAAAAAAAATCTTATCTAAATTCATCCAAGACATATTTTAAAAAAAAAAATCTTATCTAAATTCATCCAAGTTATAAATTGACCTACCAAATTAATTAAATATTAACAGGTTATTGCATTAGCTAGATTTTTAGCTTATCCAAACCAATTTAATCACCAAATTAATATGCCAGATTATTCCAGATTTAATAATTATAACTTTATATATTAGACATTTTTTTTATTCAGTACTTGCATAAGATTTCTTTGTAAAAAAGAGAGAGAGAAAAAAGTAAATTAGATAACACTACAATTGTAGTAGCTTTAAATTCTTTACTACATCTTCAATTTTGAGACACGTCTTGTTAGTGGTACCCATTTCAGTTCTCGTACGGTAGAAAGAGAACCTACCAGCAATTCAACTTCTTTTCGTAGACGTAGAAAGGGCTGTATATATCGTGCCTCCACCGGAATGTCCGTTATCCTACTCCGAAACACGCATTGCCACTTAATCAATATGATGTTATTCCTTGCATCCACTCTACTGCTACTCTCCGATGCCGCTGCATCAAAATCAATAATCAAGTCCCTACCTGGCTTTCACGGTAACCTTCCATTTGTACTGGAAACAGGGTGAGTGTACTTACTTTTTCTCTTTGTGGTGCAAGGCCTTGTGAAGTTTATCTTGTTTTGATATGATTTTCTGTGTCCAGGTATATTGGCGTCGGAGAATTGGAAGCCGTGCAGCTATTCTACTACTTCGTCGAGTCTGAGAGGAGCCCAAAAGATGACCCTCTTGTGCTTTGGCTCACCGGTGGCCCTGGATGTTCTGCCCTGTCTGGATTTATATATGAAATTGGTGTGTGCAGTTTGATTCACAGTGTAGTTATTATTGTTTTTTAAAAATGTTTATTTTTTTAGAAATATACTAAAATATTATTTTTTATTTTTAAAAAATTATTTTTAATATAAACACGTTAAAATAATCTAAAAATACTAAAATAATCCAAGAAATTTAAGGCTATTAAAAGTTCTCCCAATGGTGGTTATGAATGAATAGGCCCATTATCATTTGATTATGCAAAATCCAGCGGAGGAGGCAAACCTGTTTTGGCATTGAACCCATATTCATGGACAAAGGTCACAAATTTCTGCACCCTTGAATTATTTATTTGCAACTAAATGTAACTGTTGAAATTATGTTTCATTTAATGGTGCAGATTGCCAACATAATATTTGTAGATGCACCTGTTGGTACCGGATTTTCCTATTCAACTACATGGGAAGGCTACGATGTTAGTGATACATTGTCAGCTGCGGAAACTTATGAGTTCTTAAGAAAGGTAAGGGAAAGTGTATTTTTAAATCGCAAGATATACAAGTTGTATGTCAAGCAAGAGGAATGGCACAGAAGAGGGTTTTTTTCTAATTAAAATTAGAGGTTTTTGGTTTTTTACACAAATATTGAATATAACCGGATACTGATTTATGGATATGCTGGAAAAGTATGGTTTTATTGATCATTGACTTGCAATTTATACATCATAATGGAATCAGATTTGTAGAAAAATCTGCTAGTAGATGAGTTTGTTAAACAAAGAAATAGTGATAAGCATAAAAGTCATAATGACTGGGAATGTTAAACAACTGTCAAATTCAAAAGGTTGTTAGCAGTGCCTTGAGTCATGCTAGTCAACAGAGGCAAATGCATAGTAGTAAACTAGCTAGTAATGTAAAACAATATGGCTAAGATTATGAGTTTGCGACACAGTGGCTTGTGGATCACCCCAAGTTTCTTACAAATCCACTCTATGTTGCGGGGGACTCCTATTCAGGCATCGTTGCACCTATCATAGTCCAGGAGATTTCTGATGGTAGTATTTAATTACTTCTGCCCAAACACAACTTATTTTTCTTGTAATATTCATCAGTGTGTGATTTGTTTTTGTTTTATTTCTTGCAGGAAATGAAGTGGGACGTCAGCCAACAATGAACCTCAAAGTACTCGATCTACTCTGAAAATCCAAATATGCATTAGTTACAAGTCCACAGCTGCGCGCCCATGTTTTATTTTGTTTGTTTTTACTTATTTATTTGCGTTGTAGTTGACAAGGCTGTAAACATGTTGGAACTCAGGGATATGTGCTTGGAAACCCAGTTACAGATGATGAGATTGACACCAATTCAAGAGTTCCTTTTGCTTACCTAAAAGCGCTTATATCAGATAAACTCTACGAGGTAACTTCCCTCTCCTAGCTCTGCTCTTCAACTTCCCAGCTAGCTAGCTCTCATATAAGCAAAACTATTCTCATGGTTTTTTTCCAGTCCTTCATGAAAAATTGCAAGGGTGAGTACTTAAATCCAGATCAAAGCAACGCATCGTGTATGGAAGACATATTAGCCATCAAGGAGGTGACCGATCAATTCATAAATCAAAACTCCGATGAACGTTTTTTTGCATCATGCTTGAATTTTATGAACATGAAAGTTGACTTCTCTTTTACATTTATAGTGCATTGGAACGGTATTTACTGGACAAATTCTGGAACCTGCATGCAAGAGCGTATCCCCAAAACCAGTGGCATTGAAATGGGATCCAAGGTTTCTCATAGCCGATGACGCTGATATTCTGCTTCCAAGGCCCCGTGTTCCTGGACAATGGTGCCGGGTACATTGAACTAATTTCTCTTTTCTTTTTTCTCTCTTTCCTTGGTTATTAACCAGCTTATTGGCATGTAGAGTTACAATCATGTATACATTTATGGGTGGGCTAATGATGAAACTGTTCGAGATGCTCTTCATATTCGCAAGGTATGCTTGCCCTATCAAGTATATTACCTTCCAGATTCAAAATAACCCTGCTCATGGCGGAAAAATAATAAAACTATCATGACCAGGGGACCATAAAGGATTGGAGAAGATGCAATAAGACCCTGGCCTATTCGTACAATGTCAAAAGTACTGTTGATTACCATCGGAACTTGACCAAGAAACCATATCGAGCTCTCATTTACAGGTGTAATTAAGTAATACACTAAAATGTGTGGGGGAAAATATGTAGCTTTTCCCCACTTTTTTTTTTCTTTTTTTTACATGGTTTTTTTTTCAAGATTGTTTTTTTCTTTTTTTTGCCTGATATTTTTTTTTTAGTTTTTTGCATTTTTTTTTTTCTTTTTTTTGCCTGATATTTTTTTTTGAGTATTTTGCATGTTTTTTCTTCTTTTTTTTTTTGTGTTTTTTTAATATTATTTTTGTTAATTTTTTTAATATTAAACTGGTTAAAAACTTAGTTCTATAATTTTTAAAAAAAAAAACATTATAAATCACTACAATATTTTTCTATATAGTTTTTTTTATGATTTTTTTTTTCAAAATAGTCTTTATCGAGTTTTTTTTATATTGAATTAGTTGAGAATTTTGCTTTATAACCTTTTTTAAAAAAAAATACTATGGATTGGTATAGTATTTCTTCACATTATTTTTGTTTTGCTACGGTGTTTCTTCATATAATTTTTTTAAAATTATCTTTGTCGAATTTTTTTAATAATAAGCTGATTGAGAATTTTAATTTTAATTTTAATTTTCCCCACATGTTTTTTTCCCTTTTCTTTCTTTTTTTTTTTCTTTTTTTTACCCCACATGCTTTTTTCCCTTTTCTTTCTTTTTTTTTCTTTTTTTTCCAAAATTGTCTCTTTTTTTTTTTTTTTTTTTCCAAATTGTTTCTTTTTTTTTTTTTTTTTTTCCAAATTGTTTCTTTTTTTTTTTTTTTTTTTTATATTTAGTTAGTTGAGAATTTAGCTTTGTAGTTTTTTTTTAAAAATACTATAGATTGCTACAGAATTTTTCTAAATGTTTTTTATGATTTTTTTTGTTTTTTTCCGGAATTATCTTTGTTGATTTTATTTTTTTTCCTATTGAACTAGTTAAGAATTTAGCTTCATACATATTGAACTAGTTAAGAATTTAGCTTCATAATTTTTTTAAACACTGTGGATTGCTATAGTGTTCCTCCACATGATTTTTTTGTATGATTTTTTAAAATTATATTTATCTATTTTAATATTTTAAATATTAAGATAGTTGAGAATTACAAATATATATTTTCTTATGAAACACTATAGATTACTATAGTGTTTCCTTACACAATTTTTTTTAATTATTTTTATTGATTTTTTTTTTTAATATTAAGTTGATTGAGAATGTAGTTTTATAATTTTTTTAAAAAAAATATTATAAATTACAACAATTTTTTATATAATTTTTATTTATTTTTTTCACAAAACCATGGAAAACGTATAATCACATGGCATTTAGTGTTTAGAATTCTATGAACACATTATAAATTCTGAATTTTCCCATTTAGAGCAATCTTAACAGTTGTTTTAACATGTGCAGTGGCGATCATGACATGACTATCCCATACATTGGTACGCATGAATGGATAGAATCCCTGAATTTGACGATTAAGTATGACTGGGAGCCATGGTTTGTTGATGGTCAAGTTGCAGGGTCAGTATCCATCATTTAATTTACACCCTTTGATTTTATTTTTCAAAATCCAAACCAATGGGAATTTATCATAATTTTTTTAAATAGAACTTAGTTACAAATATTCTGAAAAATAATATGCATAAAAAAAAGATAGAAAAAAAAAGCAATATTGTTTTATTAAAAAAAAGACTCATATTAATTTGTTTTTATTTTTCAATAAAGTTAAATTATCTCAAACATATAATTAACCATAAGATAATAAAGTCTCTCGTTCATGATTTTATTAATAACAAATTTTTATTAGATGCTAATATTTTTCTAGTAATATTGTTAAACTAATATTTAATATTTTATAAAGGAAGATATTTGTAACTAAACTATCACCTTTTTAAAAAAAAAACTCATGAAAATCTTTTACTTTGGGGTTCTTTTATTTTATTTTTTAGATAATGATATTATTAATTAATTTACAAATTTGTAACACGTGTCATGTCCATTTGAAACGGTAGAGTTATTTAAAAAAAAATTAAAAAAGTAGAATGACAGAATCCAAAACAAACAAAGGTACCTCCAGGAACTGGCATTAACTAATCCTTTTTTGCTTGTTGGGTCATCTTTAGATACGCAATGCTGTATGCAGACAATGCGCAAGAATACATAACATACGACCTGACATTTGCAACTGTGAAGGTAAGAACAGCCATTAGCTTATCTAACTGTTACAATATAAATAAGCAATTATGGTATCTTGAAAGCCTGATATTGGTGGTGGTGGTGGTGGTGGTGGTGGTTGTGGTGCAGGGAGGGGGTCACACAGCGCCGGAATACAGGCCAGAGCAGTGCTTTGCCATGATGGATAGGTGGTTTGATTACTACCCTCTATAAAAAAAACAATGCCAAAATGTTCTCATGAACTAATTAATTAAATATTGTAAGCCCTAATCCATGTTTTGTATTTCAGTTGCGCATCAGAAAACTCAAGGATTAACGAGCCTTTTAGCTCCTACCGTTTTTTTTTTTATTATTATTATTATTTTCTCGAGAGAATTGATAGTAACTGTTCATCTTTGTACACTTTGTTTACGCCTCTTAATTAATATATGTTCAGACATGGATGGTCGTGCTTGAAACACAATCTCTAAACATATGATAATAATAATAATCATCTTAACCACCACAAACAGTAGCATTTTTTAAAACAATTATTATAATGCTGGTTGAAAAGAATCATATGATATGCCCAGTAAGATACGGGCACTCATTATTTTATAATCGAGTGACTATGGAGGGAATCTGAAGCGAACACTCCACTTCTTTCCAAAAAACATGCATCCTCTTCTTGTTTAGCCCAGGAAAACTCCCCCACCTCCGACCATGAGATCTCGCCCACAAACACCACAGCTATCCAAACCTGAAGACGACACGGACCCAATGACCCGGCCCGCGCCAGCCAGTACCACAACCTCTCTCAACGTCCCTTTCCCGTCCTCTCGCAAAAAAGGAACTGGGGTTCGACCCTGGCTCTTACTAGACTCAACTGGCCAAGCCCAGGTGGTGGAAGTTGGCAAGCACGCAATCATGCGTCGTACAGGCCTTCATGCCCGTGACCTACGGATCCTTGACCCGCTACTTTCTTACCCGTCTACTGTTTTGGGTCGAGAGAGAGCAATTGTTATTAATTTGGAGCATATTAAGGCGATTATTACTGCGCAGGAGGTTTTGCTGCTGAATTCTAGAGACCCTTCTGTTACTCCATTTTTGGAAGAGTTGCAGGGGAGGTTGATGTTTCATTACCACGCTACTAAAGCTCAGGTTTTACTGATTCTTTTTTTCTTCTTTCTTTAAGCTGTGATTAATTTTTTGGGTTTTTGGTTTGGTGTAGAGTAAGTGAACTTTTGCGTTTGTTTAATGTTGAATTTAAGATTTTAAAGAGTTTTGATGTGAGTTTGTGTTGGTTTCTTAAGAATCCATTTGTTGTTAATGTTGCTGCTGCTGCTAGTTTTATTGGATTTCAAAGAAAAGCATAAAATGGATGCTGTGCTATTTTAGCTCTTTCCCTCTTATCTAGAAACCAATGAGGGTATTTAAAGTGGTGATACTTAAAGTTGGATTTCGGATTGTCGGCGTAGCTAATTGAAATATACATTGTTTGTAAGATTTGTAATTTGTAATTGAAATTGTAAGGTGGGTTAATATTAAGTAAGTGGTAAGTGAGAATGAGGCAATTAGCTAGAGTGTCTTACACAGGAGTTATTTTGACTCCCACATGAAATACATTGGAAGTGCGATTTTTGAAGTTTCTGTTAAAGACATACTTTGAATATGTTTCTCTATTGCCACTGTAAAGTCATACTCATACGTTTCTAATGTTTGGTATTGTGTAAATGCTTTTGCATATGTTTCAGATCGTCACTTGCTTTCTTTCTTTTTTATATTGTTTTGGTTCTTGTATAGGAGGGTAATGGTGATCATTCAAAGGCAAATCCTTATCACGTGGAAGAGCCTGAGTCACATGGTTTGAGTCCTGAAAATTTCCCAGAAGGCTTTTCACATTATCAGGATTGCAACGAGGGAGCAAAACAGGGTATCGAGAATCGAGATGGATCAAAGGTTCTTCCATTTGAGTTTGTTGCATTGGAAGCATGCCTTGAGGCTGCATGCAGTTGCTTAGAAAGTGAAGTAAGCATGTGCAATTCCTTGTTGGATAGGTTTTCTTAAAAAATGAAGTAAATATTCTTAATCTCGAGGCTGATAACTTTCTGGTAGCTTAAAATTCCTCAGTATAATTATTTCCTTTTCCTTTTCCATTTCCTATGCAGGCAAAAACACTGGAGCAAGAGGCACATCCAGCATTGGATAAACTGACTTCAAAGATCAGTACTCTCAATTTAGAACGCGTCCGCCAGATTAAAAGTCGATTGGTTGCAATAACTGGCCGAGTGCACAAGGTTGTTGAGTTTTTTGTCTCCACATTTATTTTATTAGTTTGTGGCAATAAGCTGAATATGAATTTTGATCTGGTTTGGAAGTTTAAGCAGGTTTAGAAGTTCTGTGCTCCAAATGATTTATTTAAAGCTCTCCTCTTATGTTATGGTAACTAACCATGCATGTCATCTCCAGGTTAGGGATGAATTAGAACACTTGCTGGATGATGATGAAGACATGGCAGAGATGTATCTAACAGCAAAGCTGGTTCAACAACAGCTTGAAGATTCTTCAACTTCCTCTTTAAATGAGGGAGATGGCATGGATAATGATGACCTTCAAGCAGACTTGGACGCCAGGTACCAAATAATTTAATCACCTCATACATGTACAGTCTTACATTTTTCTCCTCTTGTTTGCTAAGCTATCTTTTCACTGAAATATTCTCATTATTTTCCATCAGTATTCCTGCTGAGGTGTCATTGGGTGTTCTTGAGGCCTCTTCTAGCCATGAGGATGGTATTAACAACATTGAGAATGAACATGATCATCTTTTTAGTGCACCTAATGGTCTTGGAAGATACAGCCGTGTCCATACTAGTACAACACGAAGTTCAATAAGCAAGCACCTTGATGTCGGGGAACTAGAAATGCTCTTGGAGGCGTACTTTGTACAAATTGATGGCACATTGAACAAGCTATGCACGGTATGGAACTTTCTACCTGATTCTTCTATATAGGTCCACAAGCATCATTTCTTTGCATGTTTTTTTAATTTGCATTGTGGACATTGTCCATACTCCATATGATGTGTGCTCAGATAGCCACATGCCTATGAACTGTAAGTGATTATGTCGAGTCCTAACGGAAGTTCATGTCACGGAATTTAATGGTGTAACTGCAAATATCAAGGAAGAGGCATTCTCTTTGCAAACAAGCATAGGCCACCCAAATGCTTTGTTGCTACCCTGGTACATAAAGGTCTTAACTCATTCGCTGTAGTTCTAACATGTTTGTGCTCATTGTGTCAATATGTGCTAACTAATAAAGCATGAAACCAAATGATGCTATGATGTGGGACCTAAAAGATATGAAGCTAAAGAAGAAAAATTGAAAAAGCTAAGAAGAAGCCAAAGAAAAAAAAGAAAAAGTTGAAGAAGAGAAGAATAAGGCTGTAAAAGTTTGCAACTTTGCAATTTTTGTTCAATTCATCAAAAACTGATCATATTTTCAAGAAAATTAAATATAAATAATGAAACTTCAATCATAATCAAATTTGGGCTTAAAGCCCACTAGCTAATAAAAATCTAATAAAATAACATAAATTGAAGTCCAATAATAAAAATAAATAAAACCTAATAACTTGGGCTTGAATGAGCCCAATCTCCCAACCAAATAACAATGGGTTGGGCTACCCTCCATTATTGATAATCATATGCATGCCTAAATTGTGTCTCAGATCCAGTCTCCTCGTCAACTCTCCCAAAGTTAGAAGAACTCGATCTCATTGAGTATAGTTCAAGGCGGCTTCGATAATGCTTCTAAAGATCATAATCAAGCAATTATGATATCTCTCTGGTAATTGAAGTATAATTTTAATCTAGTCGCCTAGGTTATATATTGGGATTCGCTAAACTTCACCATCCCTAATAATAACAACTTGTGTATCCAAAGTAGTATTAATATTTTATTTTATTTTATTATGCCAATGATAAGGATAATGAGGTAGGGATATCAAAAGGAGCATCAAGAATAGATTGTGTTTTATATATAATGAGGTTTTCCATGTCAAAAATAGAATTAATGTCAAATTTAATGGTAGTTAATGACATATCTATTTGATTTAATCATTTACAACACTTTAAATGGTTTAGCACTAGAGATTTATGACTGATTCCCATTCAGGTCTAATCTATATCATTAAATAATCTCTTACATTAAGTGCATCATGATACTTTTGTAAATTAGCTTGAAATTTGTGTTGTTTATTACTTGCTTGAATATATTTTATGATCTCAACATACAAATTATGAACTCTGCATATAAAAGACTCGGTTGAATCAGGCATTTTAGAGTGAGCAGACAAAGGAGGAAGATCTATCGACATCCTGGGTTTGTGACTATGAACCTTATATGACTGAGTCTGTAATGAAATACACTTTTTAAATTCTTGATGGATATAGATTGAACATAACCTAGTGAATCGAGGTCATTCTTATCCTTTTTATCATGGATAAGAGGGTTAAGGATTTAGGAAGCTCAGCATATTATTCAAGACTTGTGACATGCTAGATTTCAAGCATCGGGGACAAAGCATTAGTGAGCTTAGGAGGTTGTTCAAAATCTATGATATGCTGGATGTAAAGCATGGGGGATGAAGAATTAGAAAGTTTAGAAGGCTGCTCAAAATCTATGGCAAGTCAGGTGTCAAGCATAGAGGTTGAGGAATTAAGGAACTTAGAATGACAACTATCTCGAAACTCTTCCAACATTGCACTTGCCTCTTTAGGCAACTCTACTAGACAGTCTCCAGAAAATTATACACCTAAATGAGACACAACTAACTCTTCATGAACCTCCTTTTCAAACTCTTTTGGACATTATGTTAGTCATATTTACCTTCTTAGGTAGTTCCACTAAAGCATTTCTTGAAATTTCTTGTACAACTAAACCATATACAATAGGTTGTTCCTTAACCTCATTCTCAAACTCATTGTTTTAAGTCCTTGTTCTTTCACATTCTCCTTTTACTTGTTCTTATTGCTAGGTCCAGTGTCAATCCAATAAATTTGATCAATCATAAAATATGATGTCTAAATTATATATCCATGGCCTTCCTAAAATGACATGTCCTACTTCCATTGGAATCACATCAGACCAAATTTCATCATGATAGTCTAGGAATTTGGTAGGGGACAAACATTTTTCATTGACTAATTTAAAAGTGTTATTAACTCATGACACATTATAGTATTTGAAGATACTGCATTGATACATTAAATCTTATCATGATAGTCTAGGAATTTGATATAGAACAAATATTTTTCATTGACTGCTTTGAAGGTATTATATAGCTTAAGATGGGGAACAAGTATTTGAAGATACTGCATTGATACGACTTTCATTATTAAAGATAATCTTGCAATCCTTATCCCCACACTTGATATAGGGGTGAAAGATATCAATCTTTCTCCAATTTTCAGTTCTTTTGGGTTGTGTAAAGGCATATCTAACTATACCCAATCTAGTTGTCTAAATCTCTAGGTGTTTTGTTCATGATTGGTTATAAAGATATCACTCAAGATCAAGTTTATGGTAGTTGTAAATTTAAAATTGGATACTAGATAACTATTCACAAATGTATGCAACACTAACTTAGAAATTCCAAATGGAATTGAGATCATATATGATTCATGTAAGAGAAATCACAATACAAAAATAAAAGTAATTCCATCTTTTTTTAATGTGGAGATTCATCAAGAACAAAATACAACAATAAAATTTTAAGCATGTATTGCTAGACCTTTAAGTGTAAATTATTAATTAAATATAATGTCACAAGCAAGGACTCACAATCATAAAAAAAAACTAGATGCTAGATATCAATGATGAAAGAGATTGATGAGAAAAAAATTACAGATAAGTATGCATTATGAGATTAATTTTTTTAGACAAAAAAAAAGTAATACTATTAATGATAAGTTGGATAATAATTGTTTGCCTAGGAAATAAATTTCAACAAATCAAAGAGTTAAGTAATTTACCAATCAAATTACTTAATGTTGACAACAAACTACTTGGATCATGTGAGTTGTCGTTGATATCATGAAGCTACCATCGTGATGTTTCAAATAATGTCCTTTTGTTGCTTTCATTTTTCCTTCTTTTTTTTTTTCTTTTTTTTAGGGTCACTTTTCATCTTTTTTTTTTAATTTCTTTCACTGTTCTCTCTCTCTCTTTTTTAATAAATCAATATAAAAGAAAATAAAAGTGCAGTAAAGATGGGAGATTGGAAATTGGCAGAAACTCCCTATAAAATTCCTTTATCCTTCATGTGTCTCTCTCTCACTCTTGCTATTGGACGCATGCTACGGTTCGAGGTGGAGAAGATCTTTGTTGGCCGATGTTTGCTGGTTGAATAACAAGTGTATTTCCAAAGAAATAATATTCAATGAATCAAAGAGTTTAGAGATTTACCGACTAAATTGCTTAATGTTGACGGTAGACTACTTGGATCATGTGAATTGCTGTTGATGTCATGAAGTTGTTGTCCTGATGTTTTGAATAATGTCCTTTTGTTGCTTTCATTTCCCTTTTTCTTCTCTTTTACGGTCACTTTTAACTTCTTCTTTTTTCTTTTTTTTTCTTTTGGCCACTTTTTTTTACACTGTACTCTCTCTTTTTTTTTGGGCTTTTTTTCTGGACTTTTGACTTTTGACTTTTTTTGATAAATCAATATAAAATAAAATAAAAGTACAGTGCAGATGAGAGATAGGAAATTGGTATAAACTCTTCCTATACAATTCCTTTATCCTTCACGTCTCTCTCTCTCTCTCTCTCTCTCTCTCTCAAATTGAAATCGGATGCATGCTATGGTTCGAGGTGGAGAACCTGTTGATCTCTCTTTGTTTTTTCGGATAAATGGGCTTTGGGTTGATGTATATTTTGTTCAGTTAGCTTAAGAGAAGATGAACAATTTTTTTTTTATTTTTCAGATCTCGGTTGTAAACATAAAATATTAGATAAATATTAGAGGATCTTTTTTTTTCTAGATCAACTATATAATTTCCAAGTTTTAGAAACACGTTGAATTTGGAGGATTTTGACAAGCCCTAAGAGATTGATTAACTAAATGAACAATTAAAAATTAGACTTTGATACCAAAGTTGATGTGGGACAAAAGAAATTTGAAGTCAAAGAAGAAAAAAAAGAAGCTCAGATGAAGAAACCAAAGAAAAAGAAGAAACGGTTGAAGAAGAGAAGAAAGGGGGTTGGAAAAGTCTACAACTTTGTAATTTTATTCAATTCATCAAAAATTGATCGTAATAAATAATAAAAACTTTAATGAGAACTTAGAACTCACTAACTAATAAAAGTACAATAAAATAACATAAATTAAAGTTCAATAATAAAAATAAATAAAATATAATAACTTGGACTTGAACGAGCCCAATCACCCAACCCAAAAACAATGTTCGGTTATCTTCTATCATCAATGATCATATATGTGCTTAAATCATGTCTCACATCCAGCGTCTCCATCATGCTATTAGATGTAATGCTACAAGTTTAACTATTTCCCACACTATAGAAACTGATCTGGTAGTGCCTGCATTGAAGAGAGGACAAATTAAATGAGAGCTATATTTGGAGAAGAAAGATTGTCAAGAGAACGTGAGGCTGATGGCTAGAACGTTTTTGACTTTTCCCATCATCACCTTACCTTAGGGAGAATTCATATCTAAGAATGACCGTGGCAGAATTTGATGAGTGTACCATTTGTGTACAACCATTTACACCCTTCTCAGTGAAGGTTGATCCAAGATCAGAACGAGCTGGTTTCTCTAGATATGCAGTGAGTCGATAACTTTTCTGAAGTATGCCCTTCTGGATCATGAGTATGATTTGCCAGTTCAGTTTTGCAATACCACTCTCAATATAAATTCGTATGATGCCGCTCCAAAGAGTGAAATGGAACAGTGAGTATTTTGTCATGGGGCATGAGTGCATGACTTCGATTGAGGTGTGGTGGCTGGGTTGCCTGAACAAGTTAGACAGCCCCAAATTTGATTAGAGCATGTGCATTCTATTTGTGTTGGGCGTCTATATGTGTCTTTGCCTGTGATCTTTACATGATGCAGCAATGTTGCACATGATTAAACAGGCAAAAACACAGTTACATCCTTTTCAATTATCAATCATATAATTAGCATCGTTTCTAAGGTTATAGTTAATTTTCTCCATGGCTGCTATTTAACTTCGTTTTGTTCCCATGTCATCTGATGGTCTTGAAGCTGAGGGAGTACGTTGATGACACAGAGGACTACATCAACATAATGCTGGATGACAAACAGAATCATCTCCTGCAAATGGGGGTTATGTTGACGACAGCAACCTTAGTGGTGAGCTGCTTTGTTGTAGTAGTTGGTGTTTTTGGCATGAATATCGGAATCAAAATGTTCAAAGAAGAAGTGCAAGCAGGAATGTCGAAGTTTCTATGGACTGTTGCTGGTGGCACTACTGGGAGCATGTTCTTATATGTGATTGCTATTGCCTGGTGCAAGCACAGGCGATTGTTAGATAATTGAATTGCTGTGTATTACTGTATTACTCTGGCAAAGGTATGACCGGCTGTTGTATAATATGCTGTGGTTCATGTGAAAACCATGCATAGGGAAAGAAAACTCTGAACACGTTATTGCGCTGATGTTACCAGGAAGTTGTCGGACCGCTTTTGCTTGCCAAGGTCACCCTGGCTCTTCATGGAATGTCAGAAATTGAATGACACTACGGGCTAGCCCAAAGACTCTCTCACCATAATTTTCATCTCCGAACGTTTGGTAGCAGCTGCTCCTCCCCAAGAGTTGTGAAGTCTTTCACCCCTCAACCGTCCTGGTTGAGGGGTGAGGCTAACCTTTCATCGTCATCGTGCTACTGGTTTTTGGGTTTCTTTTTATTAACATTTTCTGTAGCTTGATTTTGTCTCTTCTTTAGCACCATTTGCTGGTTTTGTTAGCTGCAGCAGCTGGTTCCAGCATTAAAAAATAAGAATGGTTAAATGAAAACCCCGACATATTGCTTGTGTGAAAGAAAGGGCAGATTCGCACGTGCCAGCACCTTGTGTGCATTTTTCAACTTTTAGTTGGTTAATAAGCACTTTTTGGTGCAGCGGTTCAAATAGAAATACAAATGGGTTAAAATTTTAATTTTTTTTATATCTTTAGATGATTTTAATTAAAAATTAAAAATATATTACTTTAATATATTTTTAAATTAAAAACATTCTAAAATTAATTATATTTTTTATTATTATTAATATAGATATTCTGATTAATTTATGTTTATCTCAACTAATTTTATGAGTTAATGATCTTTAATAATTTTAAGATATAAATTTTCAATAATTTTAAGATTTATAGAATTTGAATCAATAACTTTTAAAATATAAATTTCTTTTAAATATAAATTTAAAACCAGATTAATTAAATTATATTTTTTTAATTATTATTATTATACTCTTAAACCCACTGTTTCTTGACGCTAAAAAACAAATTGTTTGGACCGAAGTCGAAGATAAGAGCCATGAAGCTTCATTATCTATAGGCTCAAAAAAACTGGTGGCTGTGGTGACGCTGCTACTACTGCAGAGAGAGAGAGAGTTTGGGTGTTTGTCTAATGGTTTTTCACAGATGAGTTCAGTATCCCAAAGTGTGTTGATGGCTCTGACCGTTACATTCAACAAGTTTGCTTCATCAAATGTTAATGCAGTTCATAAAAAAGAAGGTAAAAGAGCAGCTGCAGCAACAACAGCCAAAGCAGCAAGCAGGGCAGCTGACATTGGAAGAAGAGGAGTCCTCTTATCCACTGTGGTTGGTGTATATTCAGTCAATGACTCAAGGACTGAACTTCTTAAAAGTACTAAAAACACCTCTTCTTGTTTTGCACTTCCATTTTAGCCTTTTCTTGCAGCCTGTGGAATGCCATATCTTTCTTCTTCTCTGGAATCTTAGCTGACCGTTTTAACCATTGTTGGATTGTCAGAATACTTGAAGAAATCAGAGGATAACAAGACCAAAAATGACAAGGAGGTATAAAATTTAGAGTTACAGTACTACTACTACGTGCCATCACCAAGAATCTCTCTTTTTAGGAGTCAATTTTATTCTATTCTTCTTTCTATGCTTTAATTTCTACAATTCGCATGGTCCTTCCTGTTAATGATTGGCATGTTTTGTTTTCAAGAGAACGGATAGCTATTACAAGCGGAACTACAAGGATTATTTTGACTTTGTGGAAGGATCTTTGAAAGGGAAGAATGAGCAGGACCTTACTGAATCCGAGAAGGGTATTCTTGATTGGCTAAAGAAAAATAAATAAACAACATGTAATAGATTTTCCCTCAGGATGATGTTGTCTGTGGAACTTGCTCGCATCTTGCTTTCTCCTGTCCCTTTTCCTCGTTCTTTTCTTTTTTCCTGGTGAGGCAATGCACTAAATTTGAAGAACAATCACCATGGTTTTACACTCTATGCTCATTCGTTTATTTTATTTGGAGATCCACTTGTCTGAGGTTCCATAATTAAAAAAAAAAAAAAAAAAACCTACTTTCTGTTTACTACAATCTGAAATCTCCGTGTTAGAAATCAAATGCTGGGTCCAATAGAATTCTTGCATTTATTTCAACACTCCATTGCCATTTTTATCTGATATCTTTTGGGCTCCCTTCCTTTCGTTTTCTTTTTTCTTGCCATTTTCCCTTCTTCGGGATGTTTTTTATACAAACGGTGAGGTTATTGAATTGCAATGTGAAGTACATGTGGAAGTTGAGTTCAGGCATATGTTATTCCAAGCTAGCTACAGCTATGATATATAAAATGTCTTGCCATGATCTGCTGTCAAATCTTGGGGCTCAAGTTTTCACGTGCGTGATAAAAATTGAGGCTTGTTTCTTTTCTTTTTAAATTAACCAAACCCATGACTGTCTGTCCGTAAAATAAAAATCATATCTTCCAACTCCATAGGGAGATGTTGCTTTTTATTGATGAAAATTAATGATTATTTGCTGTCCCCTACTGTTTTGCTGATGATATCTAAGCAGGCTACAATTATATCCTGGTGTTAGATTAATATATACATATATAACATCATGATATTCTTGAAAGTAATTCACATTTTAGTTATATAAAAAATAGAGGAATTGGTCAACTGGTTCTGAAACGATTGATCAGTTAAGTTTACAGAATATATTTATTGTTTGGGATTTTTTTAATATAATTTAATTTTTTGTTTATTTAAAATTTAAGATCTATAAAGGGATATCCCCAGCCGAGTAGTTTCTCCATATCTAAACTAGGTTGGTTTCTTTAATTAGGTTAAAACAGATTGCTTACACCAAGATTAATTAACGAATTTATAAAGAAAATTATATTTTTAGAGCCTGATGCGTGGAAATCAAATCCCACAGTATTTAACAAGGGAAAAAATGACCACTTGTCAATTAGATTAAACCTCATTAACTACAATACAATACATTCATTACTAATTTTTAGATTTATAGTAATTATTTTTCAAATATCCATAATATACCGGCAAATTTAGGTTGTTGGTAAACCCATCCATAATAATTTAGAATATTTTTTTAAAAAAATCTATTAAACATAAATAGAAAATTAGTAGTATTTGCAGTATTTTTTTTCAATTCTCTAGAATATATCATTGATAACCCCATTAGTAATAATTTAAAAAAAATCAAAAAACATCTATTAAACTTAAATAAAAAATAATTAAAATAAATTAAATTAATATAAAAATAAAATATTTATTATAAATCTAAACATGTATAAGTTTAGATAAAATTAATATAGACTAGAGGCGTTGGAGGAGGAGGAGGAGAAGGAGGCATATCTTTGCTTGGACCGTGGGGTAAAGAAAAGAAAGCACATGTACCACTCATCTATGATTTAATCTCTATTACTATTTGGTGGAGTTCAGTCATCTTAGTATTGAGTTATTCATAATTAGCAACAAAATAGGTTATTTAAGCTTAAACTCACTCGTTTAAAATCACCTTGAAGTCTAAAGTTTGAGGGCTCAAAACTGATTACAAGCATCCAATGGTTGAAACATTGTTGGTCATTCACAAGTCCTCAGTCATAGTATTAGAGAGACTGTACATCCAATTTCTATCTGATCCACCAAACAATCATACCTCCAACCATAAATCTGGATTGAGATCTAGATCGGTCAAAGTATCATTACCATATCTCTTCTTCAATCGAGTATTATATGTATCCTTAAAAAAAAAAAAAGTCAACAAGTTCAAAAAAAATAACTTAAAAAAAAAAAGGTTAAACACAACATGCCACAAAGTACGAAGCTCGACTCTCCACACAAGCTATTGCACTTCTTTTTTGCGGTTATCTATCCATATGTACATTTTCACAAAAAGCTCCATCGAGCTTGATTCACATTCAAGAATCATAGTTTGTAAGAGAAAATTATTGGTAGTTAAATATATTTATAAAAAAATAAAAAAAAGATGTAATTAAAAAAAATCTTACAATCCACTTCACATGCAAAATGAACATAATAGAACCACTTGTGTGCGTGGTAATAAAACCATAAACACGCCCAGTTTCAAATCTCTGCATAGGAGCATGATCGTTGCATAAAATGTTCGAACATCACATGCTGAATATATTTCACTCACACAACCTCAATTACTTAAAGTGAAGAATCCTTAATAAAATTTCAATCAGAACAGGGATGCTAACAAATTGGGTATTGGAATAGCTAGATTTATAACGGGAGGTTGATTTGTGATAAAAATTAAAGGGTGTTTTTTGTTGAGAGAAAAATAAAGAAAGAAAATGATATAGAGGAGGGAGAAAAGAGAATCATTTATCTAGTCATAAATTAAATATTACCGATATATTTATCAACATATTTAATCAATTAAATATTACCGATATATTTATCAACGGATTTAATAGATGGATTTAAATTCATTAGAATTATGCCTGTAAAAATGACACACCATCATCCTATTTTTACATTCATGTTTATTTCACTGTAATTATCGTAGTATATACTAAAAAAATATTTTTATTGGTGTTTATTGATGGATATTGTAAGAGCATATTTAGTTATTGAAAAATTTCACAATAATTTATCGATAAAAATATTTTGTAGATATGTATTTTCTTTTGTTAATTTTTTTTAGTAGTGATTATTGTTATGTACAGGGACTTCAAATTAATTTATTAAAATACATTTAATGGATGATCCATTCTGGATATGGACGTGCGCACAAACACTAATGATTTATGCAGCTGTTACAGACAGCTGGAATCTTTTTCTCTTCTTTTTCATGCAACTTTGTAATGCTTTCATGATGCGGTAATGTTTTTCTTTGTCGCACAAACATTAATTCATTCGTTGACAGTGTAATATCCAAGACTTTAGCAGAAGTATGGAGCTTTAGCACAACAACCTTTCAGGCCTGTTTACAACGGAGATGGCATTGTTATTTAAAATCACATTTTCCATGTTAGGGTGGCTACAGAGTGTTTGATGCCTGTGTGTGTGTTTCTTGTGTAATCATTGATCAATTATCTTGTGTATTGCATGCATTGGTTAGGGCTCATCGTCAACCAGTTCACATAATTAAATCGAGTAAAACACATTACATACCTTTTTATATTAATGGGTTAGTTTTAATTCTAAAATATGATTTATAATATTATTTAATATATATTTTTAAATAAAAAAATTTTGAATTTGAAATTTATACAGATTTATATTAATTTATACTTAATTTTTATTATAAAGATAATAAAAATCAAACTCATGACCAAATAATTATAAAACTTGCATAATCTTATATTAACTTGTATCTATTTTTATTAAAGGGATAATAAGATTTAAATTTATAACCAAATAATTATAAAAAATTTGATATCATATTAAAAAATCAATCCAACCTAATATATAGCTTAATCTTAACATTATTAAATAATTTTTATTCTTACAAAAGTTCTAGCACACCCCATGACCCCTGCATATGCTGAAAAAATGAAAAATGGAGTAGAAATACCTAGCTATGCTACGTACTGCTTTTGTGTATCGCTCGTTCAAGTTTCGATTAGAAAAGCTAGCTTGCTTAATCACCCGTTTGGCCCTAGTAGTATTTGTGCTTATAGCTTTTGACATACTTTATAACGCCTTATATTTTTATATTCTAATAATTTAGCATTATAGTTACTTTTTATTTTATTAATTTTATTGTTTTGATTTTGAATTCGAATTTTTTAATTTAATTTAACCTATTTTATTATCAATTTTTTTTTATATTTTAATAACTTAGAAAAATTATAACCAGGTTTCATACTTCATGTGAAAATCTCTTTTATTTTTCTATTCCAAGTTCAATTCTATTAATAGTAAGCACTTGATTTAAAAATTACTACATGGCCACTTAATTTCTGCCTTGATTCCAGAAACACGTCCTTGTGCCCCTTCTTTCAATTAACCAATAAAATTTGTTATTATAATGGCATGTAGACGTCCTTGTTAAGTGATATGATCTTTTATTTTAGAAATTTAGATGATCAGTTATGATACTTGCTGATTCATAACACATGTAGCAATGGGGGTGGCAGAGATGATAAGAGACAAGGAGACTATTGTCACGAGAAACGGGAACACTTGTAGTTGAAAACGGCATTGGGGACAGGAATACAAATCGGCTTAGCGTATATAAAACGACAAAGGCGCTCCGTTCCCCGCTGTATGTTACGTGCAGGGGATTAATGAAGGTTTTGTTTTGGTAGTGGTTGGAAGAGCAATGGATGTTTTTCCCATACTCGCTTGGATCCTTATCCAAAATGATGGGCAGCACTGGGGAGGCAAAACTTAACACTGACCACTCCTGATTATATATGTTATTATCGCTATGCATTTGTTTAATTGATCTTTTAGAATTCTCTTTGCTCTTTGTTTAGGGTTTTGTAATTTTATTTTTTTACTACATAGAAAACTCCCATTGCAGAAGCTGTGAGGAAAATGAACATGTGGGGTGTAGTTCTGAACTTGGACATGCTAAATTCCCAAGGGATATCTTTTGTTTAATCCTACTCAACCTTATAGATAGATACCAAATTATATATACATAATGTCACAATTAGGAAATGACCGAGTATAGCTGAATGAATAAAGAAATGCAAGGGAAGGATATATAATTGTGCATGACAGCAAGTCCGATGACAGATGCAAAGCAGAAAAGGTTGGAGAATGGAGAGGGCCAAATTTTCCATAAAGTATGAACACTTTCATATATATAAATTATTTTTAAATAAGATCCTTCCAAAATGAGATGAAGAGCACGTAATAAACAAAACGAGGCATGTTCCATTGGGTCAGGAAGATCTGAGGCAGGATCTCCAGGGCTTAAAAAAGGGTCATGGAAATGCATTTGAAATATTCCAACATTGAGTTTGTCATTTCCTTTGTCATCTCTGAACTTATCTGACTACCCATCACCCCTAATTGCACTTTCCATCATCCTGTCTCATTTTCATGTCCATATTGAGCCAAATCTTTGTGCAAGTCTGAAAACTAGCTAGTAGCACTATCATCATGAATGGAGCCTTGTCTGAACACTTTGGGACACGGTGGAGGCTTTGTCCTTGTCAGTGCTCAAGAGTCTAGCCTTTTCAATGATATGTTTTTCTCTTGTAGATTTGGAGAAATCAAACCTAAGAAAATCTGTTTATTTGATCATTATTTTAACCATGTCTAGATAGCCACCAATGTTAGCTAGGTTGTGCATGGTACTTTCTTGTACTGTTTGCTGGAATAGAATATAGACGTGCTAAGATATATATATATATATATATATATATATATATATATATATATATAAGAGGAATCTGAGCGTCTCAGTTATAGACTTATTTCGTTAGATGATTAGATGTGAACGCTTCAATTTGCCAATGATCCTCGTTCTCTCACTGTGATTCTCTTGACGTTGGTTAATTTCTTTATCTAGCTTTCTTATTGCCCAATCAAGGGCCTCAATTCTTGAATTTAATTTGGAGTAGTTGTTGAATTCGAGACTTTATGCAAGTAGCTAGTACTTCATAAACTTGGTTTTCCAGGAATTGAGAGCTACAATTATTGGGAGAATGCATGGCATGGAAAATAAAGGGGAATTGAGAATTGACAGCTAATTATCGGCATAATCATCAAGGACGACACACATGAAACACGAATTGAAATTTGAACCCAGCCAAAGAAGGACCGATTATTGGCCAAAATAAGTTGGTAATAGATATCAAACTAAGATTATGAAGTGTGAAACATACATGGAATTCTCTACCTCTGAACAAGTTTACCATAAATCTCACAAGCAGGAAAAGTTGCAAGTTGTTCTACTAAAGTGGTTATCCTGCAAGCCAATTCTTCAGTACTGTAGAGGGTTTCTTTTTTTAGAAGCATTGTAACCAATTCATTTTTTTAAAAAAAAACTTAAATTATTAAATGAAATTTTAAGTTATAATTTATATTATTATTTAATATATCTTTTCAAATAAAAAAATTATACTTGAAACTTACACAAATTTATACTATTTTATATTTAATTTTTATAAAAAAATTATACTTAAAATTTACATAAATTTATACTGTTTTGTATTTAATTTTTATTAAATAAATAAATATTAAAAAATCATCACAGTTCAGATATCAAGTGAAAGAATGCAACCATATATATAATTTAAATGGTTAAGTAAGGTTTTTAAAATATAATTTATATTATTATTTAATAATTTATTTGCATAATATAAGATGAGATAACGATAGAGGTTTAATTATGAGATATCAAGTGTCGATTTAAAAAGAGAGCATGTGGCTCCATCAACAACAAGGACCGGGGATAACTGCAGGCAGAGGCCGATTCCAAGGGCACAGCACATTTTCTTTGGCAAGAGACATAAATTTTGCTCTTAAGTATATATGTTCCTATTGCATTGACAGGAAAAGGAAAAACTTCAAAAGAAAAGAAGAAAAAATAAAGCAACAGGATCTTCTGAGACCCTCTGTTTTTCTTTTTGTACTTTGGCAGCTCTTTCTTTCTTTATTTTAGTTGGTTGCATTTGGCAGCCCTCTTCCCTTCGTCTCTTTTAGAGCAACCTCAACAGTAGTTCCAATGACAGTAAGTATCACCATACATTACTCTTCCCTTAATTAAACCACCTGAAGAAATTGAAGCACTCACCATTATCAAGAATTTGAAAGGGAAAAAAACACTTTAAGTTGTATTTACGTGGCTAGTTGTTTAAAGACTACTCTATGTAGAACTTGAGGTCAAAAAGAGATTAGTCTCTAACTTCTTTTTTTTATCAGTAATGGAATCTTTCCCTCAATTTTGACAGTAAATATATGTGATCATGTGATCGTCGAGAAGGACGATGCTTGTGTGTCTCATGACACATGTCATCCTTTTACACGTACTGTCATGTGACCACATATGCTGAGAAATGGAAGAAAAAATGGACAGAAAGGCTACAATATTATTGATCGAAAAATAAAATCAGGATCTAAATTAGGATTAAAGGAAGTTAGAGAGTAATATCGAAAGTCTAGATTACTTTTTATCTGCCATGCCTTGTGGAACTAAATATAATGAAACATACTTAACTGGTTATTTTGAAGCTTGTTTCCAGATAGAGAAGGGTGTATGCAACCAATGTGGTCTTGATATGTGGATCTTCCCTGCAAGAATGAGCATGCTTGGTATCACTAACAAGAGGTTATTTTGAGGTTAAAAAGGCAGACAAAACTTAAACTGGTAAATTTGGCCAAGTACCTGAAAATGAGTTGCTGAAAAACTTTGTGAATAATCGAAGACACTCTCCATTGAATCTTGGTTACTGTTGGAGAGAGCAAAATTATTCTGCTATATATTTTCAAAAAAAAAAAAACCCAACAAAGCAAAGTTAATTGCAAGAACAATGAACGTATATTACAGAAAGTGAAATGTGAAAGTTCTCTAATCGGCATCATGTATGTAGACAATACTGGTATAAACCTATAGTTTTCTGAACAAACCTTGGAGAAGTTGAAAGCAGGAGAGCTAGCAGTATCATCAAGAAAAGGAGGCAGTTCTTGATCCTGTCTGTGACGTGACTGACGGCTATGTTCTTTCTTTTTTTCCCTATAATTGGAACCATTGTTCAGCAATGTAGTGCCCTTGAGTGATGGGTAAAAGTGGCCATTATCATAGTTGAAGTAATTTTCATCTTCATGGAAATGTGGAGGACCAGAAGATGCGTCAGAGACCATAGACAAGTCCTCCTCCTCCTCCTCATCTTCTTCTTCACTCTCCTCTCTAGTGTTTTTACCTTCTCTACAAAGACCAGCACTCTCTGCATCAACAAAGTTGGTCTTATTTCTATGTTTAGAATTTGGGTTAGAAAGAAAAGATTGTTCCAAGTATAGCGTCCAACCAGACTCACAATCAGCACTGCATTCTGAGGCCAGGAAATTCATTTTCCTCCTAGCTAGCACTTAGCTATAGCTATTTCTCTTTGTTTACAAGTCTCAAAGAAACTACAAGAGATGAGAACATTTCTTGAATGAGCCTGCCTTTTTATCAAGAAGGAGAGCTAGCTAGGGGCAGTAACAAACACAGTGGGGCTCTATGTAAGTCTATTTTTGGTGCTGAGCTGGGGATAGAACTTACAACTGTGGGGAAGGTGTGGAAAAAACCAAAGCGTATCGGGCTCAAATCCTAGAGTATTTTTGTCCTCACTCTCCTCATTCATACTCTCTATGTGAATGTATCAAATTTGCCAGTTGGGAGAGTAATAGGGGGTGCATGTAAGGGAGAAGGGAAAGCCACAACCTCTCCACATGCTAGACAGCTAGGCACTATACTGTACTCTCTTAACAAAACCAGGTACGCTTCCATTTTCCCTTCCACATCCCTTGTGCAGTGATGCCTCTCTATCTCTCTTGTCAACAAGTAATCTGATTTTATTGTAACTAATCCATTGGCACATGCAATGCGAAAAGAAAAAAATAAATGTGACAAAAAACTATATTTTGTGATTACATATCTTCTAAAAAATAAATTTTAATTATGAATTGAATAATATTTTTATTTAATATTAAAATAAAAACACTTTAGATTAATCTTGGCTAATATGTAAGAGTTGCAGGAATAATCTTAAAAAAAAAAAAAAAAACTTAAATATCAATCGACTTAACATTAAAGAACTAAAATAATAAACAATAACATTTAATTATAAAAAAAACTTAAATAAACTTGATTTAATTAAATAAATTCATAATGCAAACCATTCATGTTTTTAAATTTAATAATTTTTTTATATCAAAAAATATATTTTATTTAATTATACAATGATAAAAAGTACAAATCATAATTAAAAATCAAAAAATATATTTTATTTAATTATACCATGATAAAAAGTAAGTATAGGGATCAAATTAATAGTTTTAAAAAAAGCATTTTTCTAATTAACGGTGATTTTTGAGAAAGCCAGCAATGATTTCAGCTCTGTTAAAAATGCCACAAGAATTAGTATAGTTTCTGTCAATAATAATTATGGTTTGCTATTATCTCTTCTGAATGTTAAATACACGTGTGGTCCTACATGGAATGATTTGGTACACATAATTAAATTTTCGTGTACAGATGCAGCTAGATATTTTTCCAGATAAAAAGTAGTGCACATCATCATGTCCCGACTTTTATCTTAGCATGTGTCATGTTCAGTCATCCATCTTAGCTAAGTAGAGGAGGAGGAGGAGGAGGAGGAGGCGGCCCTAGATCTCCTTGGGCTATGGAACCACTTGTGTGGTGATATTGATGGTGAAGAAATACAGCTTAAAGACTCCTTTGTTGAGTTATTACTCGCCACATCACAGCCTCACACACGCACACACACACATATTTTAGGCATGGCTGCACGAGTGGAGACTGAAGAGTGAATGGAAAATTTCTTGGGGCAAGGTCCGCGAGGAGTGTGATGCTTACTAATTCAGTTGACTGGGTTTTTATGAATCTCCACATGCTCTCTCTTCTTTTCGAACACTATATATTCCTTTAATTTTACAGTCCCTCGATGATCTATATATATATATATATATATTGAAGAAATAGAAATCACACATGCATGTGGGCACGTGTGCATATATGTTTGCATAAAAATGCATACGCGAGAGCTTCTAAATATTCACACACACATGTACGCACATGCACACGCACTTCAACCTGAAATTCTCTGTAAGATTTTCCATTTAGTATTCTTACCTGTGTGATGTTTGGCGCTCAACCCAAGGTTAACTCCTAAGTCACCCACTTTGTAAAGTAAATATTGAGCCGGGAAGGGGCTGTTGCTGCGGTTACATGCTTATACGGACGCACGTATGGTGAAAGTATATCTAGCTAGGGTTCTAATTAATGTGCCTACCATGTGATGACTCTTTCATTGATGACCTCTCTCGATCTAAAATGATTGTGTTCATTCTCACCACATGATCACATTAAATTGGATGCTGAGGTCTCTTCTGCTTTCTCTCGGCTTCTGAATTACGAAGCCGAAACTATTAGATGGTTTATGGTTATATATAATAATCATGGAGATATCCAACTGGCTGGCTGGCTGGCTGGCAGCTTCAAATGGTAACCGTGGAAGCAACTGTACCTCCGGTGGTCATTACTTCTTTTCCCCTCTTCACGGCACCGTTGCACGTTGTCATAGCAGAATTCTTCCTTGTGTGCTAGCAAAATCCTTCTTGGAATTTAAGCCGAGGACAGCACGCATATATATATAGGAATTTAAGCCGAGGACAGCACGCATATGCATATATATAATTAGTAGTGTTAGTTTTCTAATATCTTAAGTGGTAATGGGAATTATAAAATAAAATTATTTGAAAGTTTTTAGAATTTTGTTAAATAAATTTGAAGTTATTTAAGAATTTATTACTTGAACATCTGATTTTTTTTAGTTTTAAATAATTTTTTAAAGATTGTATTATTACAATTGTTTGGTCTCCAATAATAATTCACACGAACTATAAGTGAGAAATCTCATAAATTCCTATTTAGAAGAGAGTTATTGTTGTGTCTAAAGTACAAGCTTTAATTTTATGTTTATATAATTTTTTTAATCTAACAGACAATCTCTAAAAAATAAGAGGCATTACTTATTATGTATAAGAAAATCAAAAAAACCCTATAAATTAAAAAATATCAATTTGTTCTTGAATAATATTTATATATTAATTCAGAATAATTTTATAAATTAACTCAATCAAGTCCTTACTTGATTTTTCTAGGTCTAAATTTATAATCTCTGTATTTATTATATTCTAGTCTTTAATTTCTAAAATATATTTTAATCAAGTTATACTTTATTAAATCATCTCATTTTAAGTTCTGACTAATGGTTCTTAATGCGTGTAATCCATTAGATTTCTAATATGGTGGTCCAAATATAAATTATAATTATAATTAAATTAAATTAAATAATTTAATTTATTATCAATTAAACAATTAATTAATTAATTAATATTTGAAGATCAAGTGCATCATCTAGCAACGTGTCATGATTAATCAAATATTAAAAAAATTATTAGTATTTTGATTTAACCTTTTAGTAACCGGTTTCTCAGTATAATTAATATTTTTTTCATCAATAATATTTTGATTTAAAGTCATTAATCATTTGAATAAGATTTAAAACTCTTTTCAAATCTCATTCCACCCAGACCAAGGATTTCTCAATCAATACTATTTGAGAATAAATGAAACATTTTCTCTAATTCACCTTTGGTGATAAATTTGCTATTGATCACTCAAATACATTTATATAACTCATGATATACCCAATGGTTTAAAGCATGATATTCTCTATACAAGATAGCTTAGTGATCTCAAGTCTAAGGATCACTTACACAACCGTCAAATAAGCATTTCCATAGACATAAGTTACCTCTCCAAATAGAATTATCGTGCGAGTTAGTTTAGTATATGTCTTATGATAATTACCTATATATCAGTTGTAAGTATCCCTTATACCTTAACTTATAAAAACAATTACTTTCTTTCATAAAAAAAAAATAAAAAATATATTAGTCTTTACGGTTCTAATGAATATTTAGTATTTAAGAGAGCATCGATTAGAAACATTTTAGAAAAAATATTTTGATGCAATAAGAATCTCATAATTATAACAACTTTATAATTTTCTTTACAAAGCATTTGTTTCCCATAAACTTCATCTTTACTCTATATTCATTAATTAATCTAATATTAAATGAATATTAAAGATAAATTAATTTTTTATTAATAATAAATATGTATTTACATAAATATAATAATATCACATGTAATTAACTGATTGGCTACAAAGTACAGTAAAATAATAATCTTTCACTTGTAAGTCTACACTAGAAAAATAATATCAAAATATAAATTTGATAAGATCCAAACTTGAAATTAAGTTGTGAAAGGAATGTATAAGAAATTTACACTAAAATCAATTACTCATATATCTAATATTATATTGCTTCATGTAGCATTAATACTTTTGCATTGATAGTGATTTAGTAAAACGATCTTCTAGATTATCTTTGGTAGGTATTCGCTCTATATTTACATTTTTGATTTCATTGATATATCAAATCAAATGGAATTTTTTAAGTACTTGTTTGCATTATTGATGAAACATTGATTCATTTGTTTGTGTAATGGCTCTATTATTATTACAGTACAGGGCAACTGGCTCAAAAATACTAGAAACCAACCTAGTTTATTGATGAAATTCTTGATCCAAACAATTTCTTTGTTTCTTTAAACATGGACATACTCTTGTTCAGTTATAGAATCATTTGTGATCTCATGTTTGGAACTCTCCCAACTTAAAACACTATCATTTAGAGTAAAATATATATTAGCTGGTATTTAATATTTTTACAATATTTTATTAAAAAAAATTTAATTCAAATGATTTTGAACTTTTAGTTTATCTTCTCCATTAATAGATCTTATAGCCAAGTATAGAATACCATTTCTATCATATTTTTCTCAATCTGTATCTTAGAACACGTGTCTGTGAAGAAAGGTGTTTCATGCAAAATAGATAATAATTCGATCTTAGATTCTTCCATACCTTAAGCATGGATTGAGATTATTTAAGTAAGTTTCTAATCTATCTCTATAGATCTCTATATCTAATATATAGATTGCTTCTTCTAATTTTTTTATGGAGAAATTCTTAGACACCTAAAACCTTACTAATTAAAGTAAAAATATGTTGTTTCTTAACAATAATATATCATCTATATATAATATTAGGAAAATGACACTAGTAACCTATTGTAAACATTAGGTTTATTCTTTTTTTTTATGAAATCGACTCTATTGATTATACCATCAAAATTGAATATTCATATTCCTTAAAACTTGCATTGTATATTGTCTTTCATATTAGTCTTTCTTTTAAAAGACCCATTTAGATCCATTGGGTTTTATCCCTTTGAGTATATTAACTAAGTTCCAAACTTGACTAGTACATGAAGTCCATAACTTCAAGTTATTTCTTGAAATAAATATCATATATTACTTTCAAATAATTAATAGGCTCATCAATTATGAGCAACATGTCATTCACAGCTTCCTTGAGAGATTCTTATCTCATTGATGAATGACATGTCCTACCAAATTTATAGATATTTTATGTTTTTTAAAGTTCAAGCTAAGCATCCAATGTTTTGGCATTGAGAATATATTTTATCTGGATATATTGTTCTAAGAGATATAGAGAATCTCATTAGATAATCTTTAAAATATTTAGTAAAATATTAATCATCTTGATCCAATCAAAGTTTCTTAAAACTTATTTAAAT